ACAGAGGACCTGTGTTTAACTGCTCATAAGGGTGCAGATACCCAGTTATTGTTCCTTCAGAGGGTTTATTCCTCTGCTGTAACATACTTGGCCTAAAGCTATATGAAACAATAAACAAAGGTCCTGTCAAGAACCAGGGCAGGACAGAGGGGCACCGTACTTCAAGTCTTGGCGATGGACACACAAGGTCTGATGTGAGGTGTAGGTAATGACGCAGGTATGACGGTGGGCATGGTGGAGTCAAAAGTAGGAGAGCAGAGCCCAACTGGGGTTTAAATATAACTCTTCACAGCAGAAGAGATGGAGGATGGAAGCAGGGAGACGGAGGGGAGGGAAACAGGGAGTGAAGAGGAAGTATATGACTTTGGGGTGGGTGTAGGGGCTTGGGGATGGGGAGGGTGCCAGCTTGTTTTATTTCCGGTTGACAAGACTTTGCGCTCCCTTTCTCTCTGTCGCTCCCTCTCTCTTTCATACTCTGGTATTCTTTCTGCGCCGCCCCCATCGCACCCCCACCACCCTCCTCTTCTCTGTTACTTTCCTCCGAGACGTGCCTCGGAGAAAAGAAAGGACTTGACAAGTTCAAAGGTAAAAGAACAGTGGTGGAAGATGCGTGTAGACACTTCACTTAAGCAAAGAATTACAATGGCTGATTAAAAGTTTACATGTGGAGACAAACATTTATTGGGGGGAATATCTGATACAATGCTGAAATGTGCATGCTGTTACTTACAAGAACATATAAAGAGTGTCATTGTGTGTAAAAGTTTGAACAGAAACTCAGATAAAGTTCTCTCTGGGTTAGTGGGTACTCATTTTCTTTAGCTCTCGGGGATTTTTTAAAACCTGGAATAAAAAAAGAAAAAAAGAAAAGAGCTGAAAATGTAGTCAGCAGCAATTTGGCAACTTTATTAATGACACCTTAAAGCTCTGGGATTGTAAATATCCATTCATAAGTACAAGATTTAGTTTTCACAAACCACAAAATGAAAATAAAAGTCAACAAATGTGGATAATGTCTAGAGAATATTGTTGTTAAATTTGTTATAAGCAGAAAGAACATTGGCTTCAAGACCTTTTGGTGAATTCATCACACGTTTATATTTGTGCAGTTGTCGCACAAACAGCAAAAAGTTAAATATCACATTAAAAATTTATGCTTTTAATCTTCTTTTCTGGAGGATATAAAAAAGAATGAGGAGAAGAAAACACTGACTTCAAATAATTTTATTATTAAACAAAAGTAACCTAAAAACATGATTTTATTGTGGAATGGGGCGATCTGCTTTGTTTGTCTGAAATCACAGTTGCATCTTATTGTGTTCCTTTTGCAGGGATTTGGTTTAACCTATCTGATCTCTGCGTGCTGGGTGCAGCGTGTATTTGTGTGTGTGTGTGTGTGTGTGTGTGTGTGTGTGTGTGTGTGTGTGTGTGTGTGTGTGTGTGTGTGTGTGTGTGTGTGTGTGTGTGTGTGTGTGTGTGTGTGTCGAGACGGCGCGTGCTTCACTGCAAAGATTCATGTTGCTCCAGGACATGCATTCTTTTAGTGCATCTTGTTAGTTCATTCCTGTCACCTCTCTCTCTCTCTCTCTCTCTCTCTCTCTCTCTCCCTTCCCTCCACCATCCCTTGCTTTTTCAGCACTGAAGGGGGGCTGGAAGGGGGGTGGAGGAGGGTGGGAGGCTGCAGTGGTGGAGGCAGTCACCATGGTTACAATGCCATGACAAATATTCATCAAGTTGTTAGAATAAAAACAAATGGGAGTGCATTATAATTGCTCTCACTGACTGGGATCCAATAATGTGCTCATATATTATGAGTGAGGGGGAGAGGAGTGTGTGCCAGTGTGTGTGTGAGGAGCGGAACATCTGCACGCACCAAAAAGAAAACTCTTAAACTGAGATGAAGAGTGAATATCTGCTGACCTGCAGGCAAGCGCATGAAGCGCTTCCACTTACACACACCTCAGCTTGTCCCCCCCCCCCCCCCCCCCCCACCACCACCACCACCACCACCACACACACACCTGCCTATAGAATATACTGCTAGGTGTTTTGTGAGTCTCTCCTTTCTTTTCTCTTTGTCCCTCCATCTCTCCCTCTTCCTGTACTGTTGTGTAGCCCGAGGCGATACTGTGATGTGTCCTCCCTCTGTCCCTCCCTCCCTCTCCCTCTCTCTCTGTCCCTGTCACCTTCAATTGCTCTGTGAAACTAGACGCACTGCCTGGGGTGGAGAGGGGCGGGGGAGGGGGGGGGGAGGGCAGAGAGGAAAGAAAAAAGGAGACAGACAGCTTTATAAACAGATAGAGGGAGTAAGGATTTGGTGACATGTGAAGAAAATAGGATTACAACAGCTTGGGAGAGTGGCATGCTTTTAAAATCAGTTATGTCATTGTTTAATTGGACTAAATAAAATAACCTTAAATAAAAATGGGACCAACAGGCTGATGTTTGTAGTTTTTGACCTTTGACCCGGTTGTGTGTCTGTCAAAGTGTGTTTGACATTTTGTGTGTGTTAGCTGATCCTGACAATTACAGCTAAACAGGTGTTCTCCTCATCTAGCTAATCATTAGTTGATGTATGCAGTTCCTGCAGCATCACAACACAACTTAGACCAACCATCTACATCCCAGTGAACGGACTCAAAACTGCTGAAAACAAATCCTAGACAGTTTTTTTTTCTGTTCCATCACTTTACATGACGATATAGTTCAAAATCCCATCTTTATAAAACATTTCTGTGGAGCGTTTATGAACAGTTAGTATCTTACCTGTTATAGATGGGTTTTTGAATAGTCTCATTTGGGAAAAACAGATTAGTTCTGATGGAGATTACATGTACATAATCACCCTCCACTGGAGTCACAAACACCCTTAAAACAAATCTGATCCCAAAAATGTTTTATGTTGTTTTGCAGGTTCACATTGTTCAGTCAGTTTTGCTATTTGGATTTTTTCCTGAGAGTATCAGCAGATTTATTTTGTCTCTGTGGTAGCAATCGTATAAGTTAATAGAACACTGATGTCACAAATAATCTGTTTTCAATAGTTCAATTGATTCTGACTCCTACTGAACATCCAGCATGCTAGTAATCACAATTTATTCACATGCTATCTAAAATAATGTATATTTCCACCCATCCATCCATTTTCAGCGGCTTATTTGAAGTTGAGTTGTGGAGGCAGCAGCCTAAGCCGAAAGGCCAGGCTTCTCTCTCCCCAGCTCCCCCGGGGATCCCCAAGGTGTTCCCTGGTCAGCCAAAAACCATAGTCCCTCAAGCGTGTCCTGGGTCTTCCTTTAGGTCTCCTACCGGTTGGACGTGCCCAGGTAACCTCACCAGGGAGGCGTCCAGGAAGCCTCCTGACCAGATGCCTGAGCCACATTAACTGGTTTCTCTCAACGTGGAGGAGCAGCAGATCTACTCCAAGCCCCTCCCGGATGACTGAGCTTCTTATCCTATCTCTAAGGAAGAGCCCAGACAGACACCCTGCAGAGAAAACTCATTTTGGCCACTTGTACCCACAATCTCGTTCTTTCAGTCACTACCCAACGCTCGTGATCATAGGTGAGGGTAGGAACATAGATCGACTGGTAAATGGAGAGCTTTGCCTTCCAACTCAGCTCTCTCTTCACTATGACAGATCTGTACAATGTCCGCACCACTGCAGATGCAGCACCAATGTGTCTATGAAGCTTATCATCCATATTTCCCTCAGTTGTGAAAAATACCCTTAGATATTTAAACTCTGCCACTTGAGGCATGGACCTAGACCTGACCCGGAGAAGGCATTCTACCCTTTTCTGATTCAAGACCATGACCAGACCAGAAGTGTGATCTCCCTGTAGTTGGAACACACTCTGCAGTCCCTCCTTTTAAGTAGGGGGACTACCACCCCATCTGCCAATCCAGTGGAACTGCCCTCGATGTCCACACAATATTGTAGAGCCGCATCAGCCAAAACAGCCTTGCCACTGAAGAGCTTTTTGACTATCTCAGTGTATATATGTTTATATATATATATATATATATATATATATATATATATATATATATATATATATATATATATATATATATAAGGGCTGCATGGTGGCGCAGTTGTTAGCACTGTTGCCTCACAGCACGAAGGTTGCAGGTTCGAAATTCGG